CTCTCCAGTCGGGGCAAGGCCCCCCTGCCGCACCGGGAAGGGGGTAGCGGTGAGCCCAGGGCAGAGGCCAAAACCTCCAGCCCCCCCTGCCCCGCCAAAGCTGCAGAATTCAGTTTCTCCAGCATTTTGCAGAAGGGAGGGTCACGCCAGCCAGGCATTAAGGAAGATTATTCCGAGTTTGTTATTTTAGACTGTGAAAGTCCTTCCTCAGGGATCTGAATCCTGGTTAAATTAGACCATTCAGGGTGGGGAGAAGTGCTCAGATTAATCTCCCCCATTCGTCCCCCCCCCAGGGAAGAGGCTCGCCAGCTGCCAGGTCTGCGCAATCGGATTACAGCCTCCCGCGCTGGCGCGGCTCCACGCTTTCACCTGATGGCAAAAATCTTCCCCGGAAGCGGCGAGCACGGTGTCCCTGCCGCGGCAGCGTGCCCAGAGCCGCGTCCCCGGCCCCACCGCGGTGCCGCTGCCGTGCCCGCGAGGGGCATTACTGCTTCAGATGGAGGCATCGAAGCAGATTAAATGCTGTCAGAAAGGGAAGGGGAAAAACTGCACCGAGAAGGGGATGGAGATGGGGACCATTTCCACTCCCGATGCATGGGAGCTGCAAATCCTCTTGTACCTGGGCCACGCTGGGAATAAAATGGGGTCCCGTCCCTCCCAAGCCCTCTGCACTCTTCCCAAAAGCAAACCAGCCCCACGGGAAGGGGATGGAGGGAGGCACCGAGGAGGGGAAGGAGGATGGGAACGCAGCTGCTGCCCCAGGACGAGGCGGGGGAGAAGGAAGCGACTGAACTTACTCTTGATAGGCAACTTAGCTCCAAAATAATTGATGCAAAAAAAAAAAAAAGGAAATAAAAAAAATAAAGCTGGCGTTAACAGACAGGGTGGGTTTAAACAAACAGCAGGGAAATGTAAACACGCACGGGTGACTGCGGAAAGCGTCCTTTGAAAGTCAGAATAAATAAGAAATAAAGCAAACAGAGAAGAGCAGCTGAAGGGAAGACTATTTTGGTCTCCTCCGAGCATGTGGTTGGTGACCTCTCCCTGCAGCCTCCACGGGCCGGCTGGGAACTGGGTTAGCAAGACGGGCAGGAGGGATGCGCTCGCAGATAGGACATGTCCTCTGCAAGGGCAGGAGGAGGGGGCCAAGCTCACCCGTCCCTGTCCCCACCCCGGCAGACCTCGTCGGTGCCCTGGGCCAGCGGCTTTCCGGCGAAGCAGAGGGGCTCCTCGCCACCCGGCTAACCCCCCCCTCCCAAGCCCATGGGGTGTCACAAGAAGGACTTGGCCTCGGCCGTCCACCGTACCGTGGGAGGAGGAGAGCCTCTGCCGATCAGGGGGACGTTCTCGTAGCGTGGGTTTCCACCAAAGAGCACGGCTTGGTTCCTGGAGGGGGAGAGCCCGTCAGAGCGGGGCGCACAGCGAGACCCCCATCGTGGGGTGCCGCTCCATCCCCAAGGAGGGGGGACCCAAGGGTCAGCATCTCCGAGGAAGGGGGTCTCACATGTACTCGGAGACGGGGGCGTTGGAGATGGTCTGTGCCGGGGGGTGCAGGCTGCTCTGGCTGCCCAGGCTGCTGCTGTAGCTGCAAAAGCTGCGGAGCTGCCCCCGGGCCGGGTTGTGGGTGGCGATGCGACGCGCCTGCGGGTTGAAGGGGTCTTCCTCGTCCATGTCATCGTAGTCCCGGTCCCTGCGGGGACAAGGCGCCGGTGCTCACCCCCCTGACCCCAAAGGCAGTTCCCCTCTGCCGTGCCCAGCTCATGCCACACACGCAGCCCCGCGCCCCCCGGTGAAGGCAGGGCTTGGGTAGGGGCCGCGGGCAGACCCACCGGCCAGCGAAGTGCTTCCAGGCGCGCGGCGTGGCACAGATGATGGTGGAGAAGGAGGCGGCCACCAGCAGGGAGAAGAGAACCAGGTAGAGCAAACCCTCCACCCCGTCGTAGCAGATGCCAATAAGGGCGTCCAGGTAGTCCTGCAGCGGGAGACGGGATGGGGCAGGGCTGGCGGTGGTGGGGGGGTGACCCCAGGAGCTGCACACCCCTGTCCCGGCCCCCCCCTCACCTTGTGCAGCCCGCGGCAGTCCAGCATGGCCGTGAGCTGGTGCAGGCTGGTTTCTGAGGAGTTGAGGAGCTGCTGGACCCCCAGCAGGTCTTTCTGTGGGAGAGAGGGGGGTCAGGGCAGTGCTGGGCAGGATGGGGAGCAGACGGAGGGTATGGGGCTCCCGCTCCCCCCACCCCGTACCTCGGCCGTGGGGAAAAGGGGCAGCGCAAACTGGATCAGGCCCTGGATCTGGATCTGCATGGTGGTGAGTGAGCGCTGGAAGACGGTGAGAGCCTGCGAGAGGGGAGCAGGGAGTGGTCACGGAGCTGCCCGGGGCCACCCCCCACCCCAGGCGGCACAAAGTGGGGTGCTGGCTCCCCCGTACCTGCTGGAAGGGGTTGCTCAGGCTCTGGTCACAGTACAGGTAATAGTGAACCACCTCTGCAAAGCAAACAGGAGACATCGGTGTGAGCACCCCGGGGGGCAGAGAGCAGCGCAGGGGTGGGCAGCACAGCAGAGGAGAGCACCGGACCCCCAGGTAGGTTCTGGGGGAGCACTGGGGTCCTGCCCCGAGCATGTCTCCATCCCACAGCCAGCTCTCACCTGCGCTGATGTCGCTCTCCGTCTGGTTCATGATAAACTTGTCCGGGGCCACGCAGAAGTCGCTGGTGCCCTGCGGGGACGAGAGGGACACCATCGGGGCTGGGAAGGATGGGATGGGTGCCCACAGCCCTCGGGCTCTGCCCCGGCACAACCAGTACCACCCCTCTGCTCCCAGTTCCACTCACCACCGCCGCCGCCGTGTCCACAGCCATGGAGGCCCAGCTGAGGATGAGCGTCAGCAGTCCGCAGCACAGCATCCTGCAGGGAGAGGGGTGAGCACGCTGTGGGGTCCGGCTCTGCCCCCCTGCCCCGGCACCACCGAGCCCGGCCGCAGGGTACTCACGTGGTGAGGAGGCAGCGGGAGCGCTTGGCCAGCCCCAGGCAGGCCAGGAGGCAGACGGTGAGGACGAGAATGAAGAAGAGGAGATAAGCCAACCACCTAGGTGCAGAGGTGCAGAGGAAGGCTCCGTCATGCGTGCCCACCTCCCCAGCCCCGCCAGGAGATGCTCTGGCAGCCCAGCACCGTGGCCCCGCTCACCGGTAATACTCGACGTAGGCAACGTGGCCGGCCAGCGCGGTGAGGTCGTCGCTGGCGCCCCGCCAGACGGGCAGCCCCGAGAGCTGCAGGACGATGCTGCCGGCTAACTGCTGCATGAACTTGAGGGTCTGCAGGTAGTCCCCCCGTGCGGCCAGGAGCTCGTTCAGCCGTGCCAGGTGCTGCTCCAGACCCACCTGCATCTGCAGTGTGGTGCCTGCCACCTGGGGATGGCGGGATGGTCAGCCACGCCGGGATGGTGCCAGGGGCTTCCCTGCCGTCACCCAGTGGAGCCATTCGCCCCATCCGTGGGATACCGACCCTCTGGGAGAGCAGCCCCACATTGATTCCCTGCGCCTGAGCCAGATCCATCCCCTGGGACAGGACAGCCCCGCCACGGCCCCCCCAGCCCTTCCCGGCCACAAAGGGCCCATTCTGTGGGGTGACGTCACCCTCCCGCGCTCGGCATGGCATGGCCGCCCCGGGGGCTCGGCCGGAGCAGGCAGGGCTGGGCCAGCAGCGCAGGACGCCTGGGTCCCTCCAGCCTCCCTCCCCAGTGCTTTAACCAAAGCCAGGATGGAGGATCAATGCGACACTGGGGGACGCGGAGGGGGACCCTGCCCCGCGGCTCTACCAGCGCGTCAATGCCGGTCAGGGTGTGGTTGGCATGGTCCAGGGCGTAGAGCAGCTGGTACACCCCGTCGTTGGTCTCGCTGTTCCCATAGAAGCCGATGCCGACGGCCGCGCTGTGGGCAGAGAGGGGATCCACAATTAGAGGGGAGGGAAATGCTCACCCCGACATGGGTGCCTTGCCTTGGGGCCAGGGAGGACGTGGGGACAGCAACTGGAGAGGGGACATTCCCCGGAGCATCCTGGTTTCAGGGGACCCCCTGCTCCTGGCAAAGCAGATGGGACAGGGACAGCACCGTGATGGGGACCTGCTCCCTGCCGGCGCCCACGGGGCCTGGGGACACCCGAGCCCGGAGCTGCTCCACGGGCCAGACACGGCGGGTTTGAAACTCCTCCTGCCGGACCCCAAGAAATTGAGGGTGGAGGGGCCGGGCAAAGCAGATTAGGGGAACCCGCTGGAAGGGACGCTGCTCCCGATTAAACCTGCTCCGGGGCTCAGCCCCAGGAGGGGAGGCAGGCGGCTGGCTGGGGGCTGTGCCGCAGCCGCTCCAGGCCCCGTGGTGAGCTCACTGTGGCCGCTTTGGCGCTCCCCAGCACCTGGTGCGCCAGTGGGCGAAGCCGGGCTGGAGGTCGGAGCTGGCTCCGAGGAGGGATGTGCCCCTGCCCTGGCCAGGCAGGTCACTGCACGCGGCCGGTGCACGCAGTGCTCCCTCCCTCCCCACGGCAGATGCCGATAAAACCGACACTGACAGACACCGGCGATTCGCCATGATTAGGCCTTTTACGGCCGCAAACAGGCTCGGTGTGGCTGTCGGAGGGGTTTCAAAGCCCCTGGGGAGCTGCAGAATGATGTTTTGCCGCCTGCTGGCAGGCGCCCCAAGGCTGGAGGAGCAGGGGGCACCGGGGGGAGCACCCCAAGCTCATTAGTGCCATTTCCCTGCTCCGTACAATGCTCACAGGCAGCCATCTCATTCCGCCTGGGCAAAACCAGCCCCTTTGTCTGGCAAGTGGGTCGTGGCGGGCAGCAAAAGGGCCCCGTGTCCCATTGCATCCCCCCCGAGGCCAGGCCTGCCGGGGGGCACACGGGCCGGCTGGCGGGGACTCCTCCTGGCCACGGGCTGGCAAAAACCAAGACGGGCTTGGAAAGCCACCAGAGCGCTGCTGGGCAAAGAAGCATCCCCTCGCCTAATTGCTCCGGTTGCAATTAAGGCCAGGCACGTGCGGGACCTGCCAGCTGGGTCATGCTGCTGCCCGCCATCTGCTCCGGGCTGGGATTAGTGACCCGGCCCCGCTCCCGCCTAGGATTAGCCAGGAAGGCGGCACAGCCGTGGCAGGGATGGGGACAGGGCTGGCCCGTGGCCGGTCCCAGCGCTGCCCCAGCATCAGCGGCTGCATGGAAGGAGGCAGGGACGGACCATATTTAATTGCACGGATCTAATTAAAGCACTCATGGCTGGAGCGTTTAGCCCCCTCAGTGACAGGGGGGACAGCACCGGGTCCCCGTCCTCACCAGCAGATGAGCCCGGCGGTGACAGCCATCCAGGTGACGCAGCAGGAGTGGGGCCGCTTGGTGTCAGGCTCCTGGTCCCTCTTGCAGCAGCACAGGCAGATCAGGTAGACGGTGAGGAAGAGGAGGTTGAGGCCGAGGCAGATGGCAGCCACCAAGCCCAGGAAAAGCAGCGACTGGGAAGAAACGAGGGGACACTCAGCGCCCATGCCCGTCACGTGCTGCGGAGCGCCCGGTGGCCGCCAGGATGCGGCCACGTCCAGCGCCCCACGGGATGGTCACACGGGGAAAGAGGAAACGTCCCCGTCCCCGTCCCCATGCAGGGCTGTTGAGCCGCAGGTCGCGGAGCCCGGGGTGCAGCAGCCCCTTCGCGGGGTGGCGGGGCACCGGCGCTGCCCCCCCCCACCCATTTAGGGCTCACGGGGGGCCGTGCCCCGGGATGCCGGGGGGCTGCAGCCGGGTGCACGGCACCGCCGAGGGCCCAGCAGCGCCAAGGCGAGGGGTGACCCCCTCTTTGCACCCCCCCCCCGGGGGGGGGGAGGGGGCGGGGGCCCCG